ATTGCTCCTGATTTCATAGGATGTTGCAGTGCAAACAATTGCGGCGAAGTACATCTCCTTCGATGCGCTGACTGTGAGCAGCTATTATGTTTTAACTCTTAGACAACTATCACATATGTTCATGGGGTAAATAATTTCAAATTAACATATAACCATTGGCTTAGCTTGACTTTGGACAATAAATCAACAAGTTAGCAAAGCTTTCTCTAGTTTTAGCAGGTAGTTGCATAAAACGCAAAACGTTTGTCGGCAATAGGACTCGAACCTGCATCGCACACCTGCAAGACAAGGCATTAACTACTGCGCCATCTTCGTACTTAGGAAGCTTGCACAAGCACTCATTATTGTAGGTGGCTTCATGGAAACAAGTGCCCATATCTTCTTCCAGAAAACCGTTTCGCAGATATGGAAGACAGATTTGAGTTTCTTTCCCACACCCAACTTGTTATTATGGAATATATCTTGTTTTGAATGGCCACTTCGAGTAGAAAGCATTCCCTTGTAAGTATTTTGATAGAACAGGCCTAAATCTACTAAGTATTCTTAGAACAACCAAAGGATGCCTTTTTTCATTGGTGTTGCCACAAAGTATCATTCTCGCGCGACAAGGCTCATGCAATTACGTTCATAGCTTCTCTCCTACAATGCACTCAAACAGTATGTACTCTTGAAAATATGTGCGAGAATTTCACTTTATCAGAAACGGAAGTTGAAGGAGAGTTATGAGAGGTTTGTTTTGCAACTTACTTTCTCTCAATATTGTTCAAAATCGCCAAGAAGCCATCCGAAAAAAATGAGTTTTGAAAACGTACAACAGCCTCAGAGAAATTGCCGCGACATGATGAAGCAAGAAAATATTTTTTTAAAATTTTAACCATTTCTAAAAAGTGGTCGATGGCTACAATTTGGCTCAAACTTTACCAGATCCTGATTGTTAATCAGTTTTTTAAAAAATCTACTGAGTCAAAAAATCATTCCATTATTAGCTATTGTCGTCATAGTTCACCAATCGTCTTTCTTGTAAGTTTGATATTTTTTCTTCTGAACTCTTATATAGTCTCACCAGTGCACACATAGACAGCTGAATTTAGCCACCGACGAATGGAAGATATGATGGGTGGTAGTAATTTGCCCGAGACCCGCAGTTGACAATTTCACCTTGAAATAATGACCAAACTATGAGGATAACTGAGAGCGCTTGCAGAGAAGAGGCATGTCGTTGCAAAACCACTAAAAATTTGGGATCGGACCCACGATCAGCCTTCATGCACCTTATGCCGCATCAGCGCCAATAGGCTAAGATGGTCTTGCTTGACGAAGCATTTTTTAGGGGTGATCTTGCAAGACATGATAACTGCTCACTGATGGCTACCACCACTACTTCAACTACGCAGCACTTTTCCTTTGAAATAGCGTTGGCAAACAAAGCATAAGATGACGGATTTCGATGTCCAATAAGCATACGCAGCATTTCCATTCCCACCAGTGTTGCTATGTAGGTAGAGTCGTAACAGTAGCTAAACTTGTGATCTTGAGCAGTTATAGTGAGAAAGCATTATCTGAATTTCGGTGCCTTTTCGCCGATCAATCGCCTATTTTGGAATGCGTCAGTCTCCTAGCCGATGCTTCATGTCCTATGCTCTACCCACTGCCTATCCTGGCATGCCTCAGCCCCTTTCTGCTGGTATAACCACGGGCAAAAAGTCCCACAGTACTTTTGAACGAAACGAGTACTGCTACATTT